ACGCCATTGCGTTGTGATCATTTCCTGAAAATACGACCCCCCCTAATTCCATCTTCAAGTACGACCCCCTCCCCCATGTTACCTCTTCCCTAGATTTTTCCAACCTCCTACCACTTTGTCTATTTTCCCCAAAAAATTTCTGGTTTTTTTTACAAAATTTTGCTGTCGAGCGGGGGGGGAGGTCGCAGTACCTACGTACGTCCCAAGCACGTCCAGCACTCTGGCGCTGGTGTAGCATACTGACAATACGTACGAGGAAGGGGCGATGATAGGAGCTACGATCACCGCCCACAAGGGCACCATGAATTTATAAACAAACAAGAGGACTCACGACGTGACGATTAATAAACAGATGAAAGTACATTCCCGGACTTTTCTGATCGTAGGAGCACATTTGCTTGCAATTGGGAAGCCCTATCTAGAAGTTACACCTTTCCAAAACCTGCGTGAAAGCCCCATGCATGGCGCATTGCACAGGTGATGCCAATTGGCGCCCATTAGACCATTCTTCAATACCCTTTGCGGAAACATGTGTTTCAGAAGCATACCAAAGTCTTCAAGCCAACTGGAGGTTTCCTGGCCTCGGAGGGGTTGATTTTTCGTGTCGTGGGGGGTGAGCACGAAATGATCACAACGGGGAATTTTTTCGAATAGCAGGCCTAGGAAGAAAATTAAAGCCTTGCTGGAAAGTAGAAATCTTCAAGCTTCCGGCACAATTCTTTTTTTACGAAAGGCCGTGTATGAAGCTTGCCATGGACGTCCAAAGCGTAGCGACTCGCGGTTCGCAAAAATGATCACAGACGGATCACAACGATGATCACAACGGGGAAAATCTCTGGAATCGGAACGTTTTTGAAATCGCTCAATTCAGGTGACAAGAGCCAACCTAGCTCTACTCATTCCCTTACCCCTCTCCGATAGCTTCACTTTCAACGAAGTTATGGGTGTTCAAATGAGGGGTACTTTTCGAGCGTTTTCGAGCGTTTGGCTTGAAATTGACTGTGGGACGTGAAATAGCGTGTACCAATGAGACGGCACTTTCGGCGCGAACAACTAGCATACAAATTTGGTAAGTTGTTTTTTCTCATTTATTTTGTGTATTTCAATGCTTTCTAGGTTTCTTTTTAGTTTCTCGGTATTTTTTTAGTTTGTGATCTAGTTTCTCGCCACTATTGAACTATTCCCACCCCAGTCTGTTGTAATCAGACCGCTCCTTTATCGTTTTTTTTTCTAGAAGGCCAGATTTGGCTGAAAATTTGCACACAGTGTCACTTCGACCTATTGAACACGAATATCATATCCGTTTCGAATCAATTTTCGTGATTTGGGGTTTTTTGGCGCAGCGCCACAGGCGCCGCCGCCTATATACCCTAAACCACCAAAATCGATGAAAACTTGTGTTCAGGGGTTATTTGACATCCTGTTTTCAAATATGACATTTATTCCTGGCGCAAGTGTCAGCGTACGTCATCTGCGCTTTGCCGAGACTGAGCCTGGCCTGAGAGAAATCATTCGTTTTCCCAGTTTCAGCCTCAGCAGAGCGCTTAAT